ACCCGTTTCCCCTCGACCCGTTTCCCCAGGCGCTCGGACTGATTTCCCCTCGATCCGAGCCACACTCGTAGGGGCTACCCCCATATAGTTGGTGGACGCGGGACGGAGAAGATCCCAGCAAGCCGATCGAGGTTCCAATTTGAAGAATCTGTGCAGGATGGGGAGAAAGTTGCCCCCTTTTGCCCCGGCCGTGGTGTCGACGCAGACGGCGGCCGGAAGGAAACGCAAAACAGCCTCCTTGGCTCCGCTCACCCCCCGGAAGCGCTGGGTGCGGGCAAGCGGTGGCTGGGCGTCTCTGCCCATCGACATAATCTGCCTCATTCTCCGGCAGCTCGTCGCCATCGGCGGCGGCGGCGACGTTGTGGACTACATCGCCTTCCGCGCCGTCTGCTTCGGCTGGCGCGCCTGCACGCCCACGCCGCGTGACCCCACACTGCGGGATCCGCGCCTCCGGCCGCGCGCCTGGGTTGCGCTGTGCGACGGTGACGCGGTACGCCCGGACGACGCCTGCGAGATCCCCTTCTTCCACACGCGCACGGCCAGGTGCATCCGCGTTCGCCTGCCAGAGCTCCGACGCCACAGAATCGTCGGCTTCACCGACGGCCTCGTCATCCTCCTGCACAAGAGCACCACCGCTGTCCGCGTGCTTCACCCCTTCACGCTTGTCGCCGTTGACCTCCCGCCCCTCGCCGCCGTGTACCGCGAGGTGATCGGGCCAAAGAAGCACCATCTGCTTGAAATGAATGCTGTGGTATGCAGCAGCGCGACCTCCGCGAACTCCATCGCTGTCATGGTCTGGTTCCACTCGGCAAGGGTGGTGCTCGTCGCGGAGCCAGGTTCAGACTGGAAGGTACTCCATCGAGGGATTTATGTTCGGAGCATGCTGCAATTCCAAGGAAGGCTCTACGCCACCTTCTCGGCTTCAAAAGAGATCGTGCAGCTATATCCACCGAGACAACCACGGCTTGAGAATTCGCTGGTGGTTGCTCGTATTCCAGATATATTTGGTGAGCACATTTTCTGTCAGTTTTTCCTGGTGGAGTCTGGTGGACGAATGCTGCTCGTTGTACAGTATCCCCCTGGTCATGGAAGAAAGATGGAATGGTCACGACAAGTAGGCTTCAGGCTCTATGCAGTGGATTTGTGCAGCAAAGGCATTGGTAACTTGATTCCGGTGAGCTGCCTAGGTGATCGTGCGTTGTTTCTCAACAGCGATCGATGCCTGGCTGTTTCGGCCAGGGACCTCCCTTCTCTGAGCAGCAACTCCATCTACTTCTCTTTACCGGACAGCCCTGTTGTGGTGCACTCATTGAGGACTGGATTGTCGGAGCAGTTGGCGGAGCACTGCCAAATACACAACTCGGTGGATAGGATCCGCCCCTCTGTGCGCCCATTTAGCATTGTTGATCATCTTCTCACCTACTGCCATCCTTCTCACTGGTAAGTATCACTGGCCAGTTTCCTTCCTTGCATCCACACTGTACGTCTAATTCTAAGTTAAGTTTGATGGCCTTCCCTTCCACCAACATGTGTAGGACTGAAGGACTCATGTTTCATGAGTACCATCATATACCTGATTCTTTCAAGGAATTGAGGAAGAACATCCAGGCAAAAGATTCACGACTGCGGATTCCGCGCATCATGGGCCAGTGAAAAATCAAGGTACGGCAACTACAATGCCAATGGAGACTAAACCTCTTGGAACGGTCCTAGTTAACTCTGTGTGCACAACTTCTAAGCTGGTAATCTGTTTACGTATCAAATTTTATCACGCTGTTGTACATTCTATTTGACTCGACTCAGACATTATCTTATTTTAATGCGATACAACTATTAAGAGTGAACCAATTCTAATTATCTTTTTGGTGAACAACAATGTTTATAGGTTCTGGAGACATATGCCAAAGAAGTGGGGAGAGTCTGAAGCCATGCTGAGAAATAGGGGCACCAGCCTGAATACAACAGCCTATTATTCTAACAGTCTCATCCGGCCACTACCGGTCTGCAACGTCCGCAGCAGTGTGTCATAAGAGCATGTTCTGCAACGTCCGCAGCAGTGTATCATAAGAGCATGTTCGACAGATGATGTAAAACGGTTGTTGCATTTTAAAAAACTGTCATTTGGGATACTTAAGCCAAAAAATTTGCTTCCGCATCTCAGTATCTCAATTTGGTCCCTCAAACGTTTACAGCAACCCAAAATTTTAGTTCGATGTGCTACAACACCTCTAGCTGATAAAGCAAAACCAAAACGCAGGTGCGCCATCACCAACCGCCTCCAACCGATGATATAAAACGATTGGGGACACTTAAAGCCAAAAAAAATTGGTAAATGTTTGCATCCGGTCGACCGGCCGAGTTTCGGTCGGTCGCATTGCTCACTCCGCGTTTCGCTCGTCTGTAGGTGGTCCACCACCGAACGAGTGCATGGATTTACCTTATCTCTTCAGGGGCAAAATGAGATCCACTCATTCTTCTGGTCGTGCACATGTGCATCTCCTCTGCACGGTGCTCAACGGTGCGGACGGCAGCGGTGACAAGTGCTGGAGACCGGCGGCGGCCGGTGTTGGGTATCCCGGCGACAAGTGATTGAGATCCGGTGTTTTGTATTTTTGCTGGAAGCAGCCCCAAATTTTGCTACCATTATCTTCTTTTGCTGGAACCAACCAATTCATTTTTGCTACAACATTTGTTTATTTTGTTGAAATCAGTGTATCAATTTTTTGCTTCTACCATCTTCGGTTTTTGCTGGAACCAATCCAAATTTTTGCTACCATGTTTCAGCAAGATGTGGATCGGTGAGATGTTTCGTTGAGACCGTCGGCAGGGACGACATGTATTCCAGTCGATTTGCTGGAACCGTCTTTTTGGTTTGCTACGACCGAAAAGTTTTTTTGCTGGATTGGCTAGATGTTTCGTTGTGATCGTCGATGATGACGGCATGTTTTTTTGCTGGAACCGGCATTTTTTGCTGGAAGCGGCAATGTTTTTTGCTGGAACTGTGTTTATTTTTTGCTACCACCGGTGTTTTGAGTGTTGGAACCGGCTCTAATTTTTGCTACTACAGGAGTTTCTGTGTTGCTGGAACAACAACCATTTTTTCATTGTTTGCTACCAATTGTGTTTTGGTTTGCTGGAACCATCTCTATTTTTTGCTACCAATTGGGATTCGATTTGCTGGAACCATCTCTATTTTTTGCTACCACTGCGAGCCATGGCGTCCTCGCCATTGATTCTGCTGGGGGACGAGGTCGTGGGCAGCACTGGCAAGGGGCGGGGCGGGCGGCTACTGTCGATGGCGAGGGGACAGACATGTGCTGCACGATGCGGAGGGGCGAAAGCCACCATGGCTCCCTGTGTTTTTTCTTCTCTGCTCAAAAAGACAACCGGCAATGGCGGCGAGCATCGGCGGCGAGGACGGACGGCGAGGGCGCCGACCGGCGACGAGGACGTCGCGGTGGTACTTCAAGTTCGGTTGTTTTCTCACGGGGGTATGGCGGGGCCGCGGGGATGCAGAGCGTCGGCGGCGCTCGGGGGCGTTGCAATTTTTATCGCAGGGGAGGGGTAGGGGGCGAGGGAAGACTGCGAGGAGGACAAAGTTGGGGTTAGATCTGACGTTTTTAATCGCGTGTATCGGGCGGCCAGGGCTCGACCGGCCCAACCGTTCAGCCGGTGCGCTGGCGCCTAGCGTCGCCCCAAAAAAATTACTTCCGCATCTGCACTATCTCTATTGGCCAAAAAAATTGCTTCCGCTTCCGTGTATCTCTATTTGGTCCCTAAAACGTTTACAAAACCCTAAATTTTAGTTTCATGTGCTACAAATTTGCAGTACCTGATGCAGCAAAACCAAAACGTAGGTGCACGAACACCAACCGCCACTCCATGCTGATTCCGGATGGATTTCGTTGCACTCTACCACGGTGAGTCTATCGTCCGTCCCCGGCCTAGCCGCCATCTTGCTACCGTAGGATCGTAAGTATGTCTAGAGGGGAAGGGGGTTGAAAAGATTACTAAACACAAAAATGACTTTTTCCCCATGTTTTAATTTTCTTAGCAGATTTTACGCTTTTCTAGCTGTCACGCCCAATATGTGACCCTATCCAAAAGGAACTCGAAGGTCCCACCAAGGATAGACCCGCATATTGAAACGCTTTTGCAAGGTGGATATCATTACATCAACATTACATAAATAGATGGGGATACATACAAGAGGCATACAATGCCACATGAATACAACATCATCTTACATAAGAGCAACATCCGACTACGGATGAAACACAAACAGATACTCAAACGACATCCACCCTGCTAGCCCAGGCTGCCGACCTGGAACCTATCCCCTGATCGAAGAAGAAGCGGAAGAGAACTCCAAAACAAGCAAACATTGCTCTCGCATCATGATCATCGCATAACCTGTACATGCAACTGTTGTTGTAGTAATCTGTGAGCCATGAGGACTCAGCAATCCCGTTACCATGGGTATCAAGACTAGCAAAGCTTAATGGGAAAGGAAGGGGTAAAGTGGTGAGGTTGCAGCAGCGACTAAGCATGATATGGTGGCTAACATACGCAAATGAGAGCGAGAAGAGAAACAAAGGAACGGTCGTGAAGCTAGTAATGATCAAGAGATGATCCTGAACTCCTACTTACGTCAAACATAACCCAAAAACCGTGTTCACTTCCCGGGCTCCGCCGAAAAGAGACCATCATGGCTACACACGCGGTTGATGCGTTTTAATTCGGATCTGGTGTCAAGTTATCTACAACCGGACATTAACAAATTCCCATCTTCCACATAACTGCGGGCACGGCTCTCAAAAGTTTATACTCTGCAGGGGTGTCCCAACTTAGCCCATGATAAGCTCTCGCGATCAATGAAGGATATACCTTCTCCCAGGAAGACCCTATCAGTCTCGGAATCCCGGTTTACAAGACATTTCGACAATGGTAAAACAAGTCCAGCAAGACCGCCCGATGTGCCGACAATCCCGATAGGAGCTGCACATATCTCGTTCTCAGGGCAACACCAGATGAACACTACGTACAACTAAAACCAGACCTCAAGTTTCCCCGAGGTGGCGCTGCAAGTGGCTCTAGTTCGGACCAACACTTAGACAAGCATTGGCCCCGGGGGGGCTGAATAAAGATGACCCTCGAGAGAGCGACTCCCAAAGAAAAGTAGGTGGTGGTGAGGCAAATGGTAAAACCAAGGTTGGGCCTTGCTGGAGGAGTTTTATTCAAAGAGAACTGTCAAGGGGGTCCCATAAATCACACGACCGTGTAAGGAACGCAAAATCCGGGAACATAATACCGGTATGACAGAAACTAGGGCGGCAAGAGTGGAACAAAACACCAGGCATAAGGTCAAGCCTTCCACCCTTTACCAAGTGTATAGATGCATTAATAATATAAGAGATATTGTGATATCCCAACATAACCCTGTCCGCCATGGAGCAATCTTCAACTTCACCTGCAACTAACAACTCTATAAGAGGGGCTGAGCAAAGCGGTAACATAGCCAAACAACGGTTTGCTAGGAAGGGTGTCAAAGGTTAGAGGTTCATGGCAATTTGGGGAGGCTTGAAGAACAAGTGATAGGAAGCGCGGCATAGCGATAGAACGAAGCAACTAGCATAGCAATGATAGTAGTGAGATCCAGGGTAGCGGTCATCTTGCCTGAAATCCCACAAGGAAGAAGAACGTGTCCATGAAGAAGATGAAGGCACGAAGATGAACCAAGCCTAGACGAACGAATCCTCACGATCGCAACGAAACGGGAACTATCGAGAAGAAGCACACAACATAGTAAACACACCACACATGAACAAGGCATGATGCTCAATCAAGTATGATGCATGACAAGGCTACATGAAGCTACTCATGGCAAGAGATGATGCAAACAAGAACAACACATCAATGCAAGTTTAAATGAGGCCGGAAACAACATATAACAAATCCGGTAAGTCCTCATATGCAACTTTCGAAGTTGGTCCAGAACTGATTAAACCTTATTTTTCAAGTTGTTAAACAGCAAGTTAAGATGCACTACGATGAACTACACGAAATTCTAGTCAAGTTACATATGAAGTTCATTTAATTCGGAGCTACGGCCTAGAAGATATGAGCAAAACAAGTTAAACATGGCATTGATGCTAAATGCATCCAAACATCAAGTAAACACCTCCAAACAAGGATGCAACATGATAATATGAAACTACATGCAAAATCAAGCAAGTTTCATATGGAGCACACTCAAAATGGAGCAACGGTTCAACACATACACTCTATACAAGTTTAAAGGACAAGCTGTCCAAAACAGCAACTTGGCATATTGCAAGCATCAAAACAACAAGCTACAGCATCCCAACGTAATAACAAAAGGCATGGGCATGAAGTACAGGTAAAGCATGACAAAAGATGAACACTGAGCTATCTCCAGAAATCAATAGATCATGCTCAAAAGGACATGGCAAGATTGCAAATAATAACAGTTTCAGGCTTAGCAGAAATAACATCAGGTTGCAACGTTTAGAGCTATCAAAAAACATGTTACGGGAACATATCATAGAAACTTAAGGCATGTCATGAATCTACTAATTGCATATAACAAAAGTCCCTTACTGACCATGAGCCAAAAAGGAGCAGAAGATATG